CCAGTACCCAAGTGAGCACTTGATCCGGTCCACGTCAGAGGAGAATCAGATCCCTTCGCACCTGCCCGCCTGCCCGTCGCTCCGGCACATCGCCAGCCTGCAGGGGAGCGCCATCGTCGAGTTCTTCCACAGCAGCGTTGCAGAGGTAGGGCCAGCGCGCCTGTGGAGGAAGGTGGCACTGTTGTCCTGGGGCCCCGGCAGGCTCATCTTGGGGTTAGCCTCAGGTTCCCAGACTTCTGTGTGCTGGCTTTTCCCCCAGCTTCAGCTGTTCACAGCTTTGAGGGCCTGAGTAGGGAGAACCTGGGGTGCCCTTCCCTGGCCAGTTGTTCCCTCCATCACCGCGTCCTCCTGTGGCCATTCCTAGCCTCGGGCCCCGGGCAGACCCCACGGCACACTGTCTCCCATCCCTCACCACGTTCGGAGTTTATAAATACGTTGACGAGACACAGTAGAGGTCCCATGCCTCCCCATTCAAGGCTGTGGGCCTGTCCCTGGGACGGCAGGTCACTGGGTAGTGGGGCTGGTGGAGGCCACCCTCCGCAGAGGCCTGCAGGAGGAGCTGTGTGCCCCGGCCGCCCTGCTCTCCTGCAGGCCCCAACCCGGCCCCTCTGTGTCCAGGTGGAAAACGAGGAGCTGCGGCACCTCCTGTGGTCGTCGGTGGTGTTCTACCAGACCCCGGGGCTAGAGGTGACCGCCTGCGTGCTGCTCTCCACTAAGGCCGTGTACTTTGTGCTGCACGATGGCCTCCGCCGCTACTTCTCGGAGCCGCTGCAGGGTGGGCACTGGGTCCTGAGGGGATGGGCGGGGTTCTGTCTCTAGAGCCCCTGTGCCACGTCAGGCAGCAGCGATTTGGCTGCACTGGGCCAAGAATCTATTTTCTGAGGAAGGGGGGTGATGACAGCACTTTCCTCCTGGAGCTGTCACATGGGATGCGAGGCCAGGCGTGAAAGCGCCCAGTAAGGCCCTGTGAGTGCCCGGGACCCAGGCGTGCTGGGGGGAGTGTTGGGCAGCCTCTGCCCCTTGGGGCCTTGGTGGGTGCCTTAGCCAGTGCCCTGTCCTAGGGCTCCTGGTGTCTCCAGCGTACCAGGCAAGGCTCAGACTGTAAAACACGTTTCCCCGAGGCCATGTGTGCTCAGAGGTGGTGGGGGCTCCTTGCCAGGCCTCAGTGGGCCAGGCCATCAAGGGGGGCCGTTCCTGCTCCACGCAGCTGCACACCTGGGAACCTTGTGCTCACCCAGCACGGCCACCACCATGTTCTCTCCCTTTCTGTCTACCACAGATTTCTGGCATCAGAAAAACGCCGACTACAACAACAGTCCCTTCCACATCTCTCAGTGCTTTGTTTTAAAACTCAGCGACCTGCATGTAGTCAACGTTGGACTCTTTGACCAGTATTTCCGGCTGACGGGTGAGTGGCCACTGTGCTTTTGTCCTATTTTGGGTGAAGGCCAGTGTCACCAGTGGGCTTCCACCTTCATATGTGGGTGCATTATCACAGGCAGAGTTTATCTGCTCAAAAGCCAGTTCACCGGAGCGGGAGGAAGCAGCTTCAGGAACTGCTGAGAGGGCAGAACTCACCCTTCAGGACTTGGAGCGAGAGGCTGGGGACAGAGGCGGCAAAGTGCTGGGTGGGCGGGCAGAGTGGGCCCTGGGCTCACGGGCAGGATGTTTCTGACTCATACTTCCTGAAGAGAGAAAGCTAAGCTCTTTCCCTAATGCCTCTGTATCCCCTTCCAGAAAAATGTTACAGCCCTTCCGGCCTGAGAAATGGCCGTCTCCCCAGGCCCCGTGATGCTTCCTCAAGTGGGTCCTCCTGACCCTGGCTCTGTGGTCCTCAGGTCCAGGCTAACCTGCTAGAGACTAGAGACGGCTCCAGGGGTGGGGATGGGGCTGGGGGGAGTAGCAGCCTGCAACCGTGCCCGGCCCCTTCTCCCGCAGGCTCCTCTCCGGCGCAGGTGGTTACATGCTTGACACGGGACAGCTACCTGACACACTGCTTCCTCCAGCACCTCATGGCCGTGCTCTCCTTGCTGGAACGCACACCCTCACCTGAGCCTGTCGACAAAGACTTCTACTCTGAGTTTGGAAACAAGACCACAGGTATCCCCACCCAGCTCGGGTCTCCTCGCCAACCCCAAGGGCTGCAGCAGGCCCTGGGACAACCTCTCTGTGCCGCAGCACCCTCTCTGCTTCTAGCTCTCTCTCTCTCTCTCTTTTTCTGCTTAGTCAGCTAGGGTTTTCCATGGCTTTTCCATGGCAGAGTCTCTGGCCCGGCAAATCCACAACCGCATCTCAGTGTCTGCTCTTCTCTGAGCTGCTGGCCTGAGGGTCTCTGCCTGAGGGTGGGGGCTTGGAGTGCTCTCTCCCACTTCTGACAGACACGTGACTCATGCTGCCGTCTCTGGGTGGCTTGGGGCTGCTGGTGAACCACCACAGGCCAGTTCCAGGCTGCAGCCCCGGTGGCGTCTCTCTCTGCAGGGAAGATGGAGAACTATGAGCTGATCCACTCAAGCCGTGTCAAGTTCACCTACCCCAGTGAGGAGGAGGTCGGGGACCTGACATTCACTGTGGCCCAGAAGGTGGCTGACCCAGAGAAGGCACCATCCCTCAGCATCCTGCTGTACGTGCAGGCCTTCCAGGTGGGCACACCACTATCTGGGCGCTGCAGGGGCATGTTGCGCCCCAAAACGCTCCTGCTCACCAGCGCCGAGATCTTCCTCCTGGACGAGGACTTCGTCCACTACCCGCTGCCCGAGTTCGCCAAAGAGCCGCCACAGAGGGACCGGTACCGGCTGGACGACGGCCGCCGCATCCGGGACCTGGACCGCGTGCTCATGGGCTACCAGACATACCCACAGGCCCTCACCCTGGTCTTTGACGACGTGCAGGGCCACGACCTCATGGGCAGCGTCACCCTGGACCACTTTGGGGAGGTGCCAGGTGGCCCGGCTAGAGGCGGCCAGGGCCGTGAGGTCCAGTGGCAGGTGTTTGTCCCCAGCGCTGAGAGCCGAGAGAAGCTCATCTCGCTGTTGGCCCGCCAGTGGGAGGCCCTTTGTGGCCGGGAGCTGCCCGTGGAGCTCACTGGCTAGCCCGGGTTGTAGCTGGCCCTTGCCACCCGCCGTGTCTGGCCTGGTGTCCACTCAGGGCCGGGAAGCAGGCTTTCTTTGCTTTTTTAAAATGTTCTCTTCTCTTTCGGTACCTTTGTTTGATTGTCCTCCCAGAGAATGTGAACATGTGTGTTCAGTTGGTTCTCAGCCTCCCGCGGATCTGCTGCCTGCCCCTGGTGCCGCGTGGCCAGGCACACCAGTTTCGTGTCTTTTGTGGGACCGTTGTTAACATGTGGCGCCGTGGGTCTGGTTTACTCTTCTACGCGTCCTTTCCCGAGATGTTAAGTTCAGTCTTGTTGCTGTTGCTGTCATTGTGGGCACTTGCTGCTAATTATGAAGCTGGCAGAGAAATGCACATTGAAAGCTCCCGCTCCATGCAGTTTTCCAAAGGGGAGGCCTCTCCTGGTCCAGACAAGTGGGAGAGCCCCATGGGGGCAGGAGTCCCCCAGGCCTTGGGGCTGAGAGGGCTGGGAGCAGGGGACCTAGAGCTGCCAGCACCAAGTGTGATTCCTGTTGCCTATTTTCTCTATTCCAGTAAAGCCAAGTTTGACACAGTCTGGGTCTTTTATTTCAAGGGCCACTGGGGTCCCAGCAGGGCATTGGTTCAGGGCGTGGTTGGCCTGAGGGGGAGAGGGTGCCTAGAGCTGCAAGAAGGTCTTGGGGTAAAGGAAGAGGGGAGGAGCCTGTGAAGGGCAAAGGGAGCTGCTCTCCCAGGGCCAGATGCTGGATGGGTGTCTGTGGAGCCTGGGACAGGGGAGGTGTGAGGGGATCTTTGGACAGGGCCGTGCTGGGCTGTGGCTAAACCAGGAGCCTCAGGGCAAATGAGAGGAATGAAGCTCCTCAGGTGCCCCTGGCACACCGGCTGCTGCCCTGCCAACCCTCAGATCAGGAATGTCACACCCGACCTGTTGTGAGGGTTAGGCCTGGAGTCTGGGACGGCTTACTCTGTGGGGTCTAGGGGGTCTCACCAGCATGGCCTGCAGAGGAGGTGGCCCCAGCGGTGGATAGTGGGGAGGAGGGCTCTGTGCTGTCCGTGTCTGGGTTCATGTCCTGAGAGAGGGTTGCTTCAGGGAGCTCTGCTGAGCTAGGATGTGGGATTTCTTTGGGAGCCAGCCCCTGTGCCCAGTCCCTCCTCAACCCATTTCTACCCCATAGCAGGGCCCCCGAGGCCCACTTACTTTCTCTCATCCTGGCCAGTCAGGAGCCTTCGGCCCTAAGGCTGCAGGACTGTTTCGGCCCAGCAGTATTGGGGATGGGGGAGGGGCCAGCCGGGTTCCCAGGCCTGCTTCTCCTCATTTTTCCCTTCATGCCAGCAGAGTGGGGATCCTTGCCTGGAGGATCCATCACCATCAGGAAGGCTGTGGTGGATGGGAGGAGCCACCAAGGGGAGGGGAGGGTCTCTGCATTCACCTCCCCCCAGCCAGATCTCAAAGACCAGCCCCATGGCCCCTCAGCTGATGGGGGAGGGACTGCCCCCAACCAGACCTTTATCAAAAGCCTGTACAGATGGGCCACCTGCCTGTCTCCATCGGTTATGTCATACATAAATGGGGATTTATAGACCAGAGGCAGAGTCCTCCATGCATAGGCCTTACCACCTAGACTGCTGTTCCCAGGTCCCAGAGCCCAACAGTTAGCAGCCGACCCCAGCCTGGGTCCGTGAGGACAGGACCTAATGGGGGGAGTCCGTGCAATGTAGTGGGGGGAAGGGTGCCCCACAGGCAGCAGACCTGGGGTTGGATCTTCACACTGGTTAGCTGAGTGATCTTAGACAAATTCCCTAGCCCCTTTGAGCGTCCGTTTCCCCACCAGTAACAGGATAATAAAAGTGCCTGCATTCATTCAGCCCACAAATCTGAAGTGAGCATCCATGCGTGAACCAGCCCGGCCCCTTCCCTGCTCTCCCATAGCTGACATTCCAGCGGGGGACAGAAAATAAACTAGTGTCAGCTGGTGGCCAGTGCTACGAGGAGGTGAAGGCTGGAGACCTTTGACCTGAGGCTGAACCTTGTGGTGAGTCCTGTGAGGATCTGGGGTAACGGCAGCACCCAGGGAGCTTGCTCTGTGGTTATGGAGTAGAAAAGCCTGTGGTGGAACAGAGTTGGGGGTGTGGAGAGCAGGCAACCAGGTCAGAGAGGCTGGCCTGCTGTGGAGAGGGATGCGGGGCACAGGGGGCAAGCCTCAGGGCTGAGTGGAGAATGGATTGGGAAGGGAGGGCTACTGGCAGCAAGGAGGCCTCTCTGGGTGAGAAGGGCGGTGCAGGGACACATGGGGGATGGGGATCCTGGGCAGTGGAGGCCGAGCAGGGCAGGTGAGGGGGAGCAGCCTGATGACTGTCCACTTAGCAGGGAGTCGGAGGCCTGCACGTGCCCTCAGCAGCTGGAAAGGTAGAGGCAGACGGACCTGATTCAGAGGCTGCCCTCTCCCCCAGGCACCAGAACCCCCCAGAGCTTCTGAATGAAACATGCTGGGCTTGCAGGTACTTGGGGTTGGGGAGTTGTTTGCATCTGCTCCTGAGTGTGCTTCACAACCTCTGAAACACCCCAGGCTTGTGGCTAATGGTGGGCTTGGAGGCTGACGCCAGGAGGAGGGTCCCGGGCCAGGAAGCCCCATGCTGGGCCCAGGCGTCCATGCAGGGGTCAGTGGCCAGCACCTTCCCTTCCGCCTGCAGGCTGCTGATACGCAGGAGGAAATCCTGGCGGGTTCCTGTGGGGGTGAGCTGGCGGGGCCTCCCGGCTGCTTTTAAAGCGCCCGCCCTCCCTGTCTTGCCTGCCCGCCCTGTGCCTGCCTCCTAGAGCTCATTCTCCACGCCGGCTGCCCCAGTTCTGTCCTGGACAGCGTGCCCGCCAGCCACCACCAGCCATGGCAGAGCCCCGGGACCACCTCCTGCTCTGCCTCCTGGTCCTCTGCCTGGCAGGCTTCAGCTTCATCGGGGGGCAGAAGGTGAGTGTGAGCCGGTCGCGGGGGACATGACATCCGGGCCCTCCCAGCCAGTGGTAGGAGCAGGGAGGGAGCGCTCATGGATCAGGCACGGGGCTGAGGACACACAGGGCAGCTGGTTCTTGTCTGACCTTCTCTGAGCTGGACAGGGGGCTGGGCTCTTGTGCCCACCTCCCCAGGCTGAGGTCTGTGTCTCGCTGCTTGGGGTGGCAGGGATGTGTCAGCCTGCACCTCTGTGTCCGGCTAGCCAGCCGGGGGGTGTGGGCAGCCGTCCCAGGTCTCCCCAGCCTGAGGGTAGGGTATACAGAGCCAGGCCCATCCCCCTGCCCGGACTGAGGCCCGGTGTCTCTGTGGCCCTGGATTGGGGATGGGAGATGTGATCACCCCCAACCCTCGCAGGGCTGACAAACTGAGAGGCTCACATGGACCATGTGTAGGCATGCTGGGTGTGTGTGCATGTGTGTGTGCCCAGAGGCAGAATGAGGTCTACTCACCCCCAGTCCCTCTGGGCAAACAGCAGCCAACAATAATGCCCTCAAGCCTAAGAGCTGCTGTTCAAGTGCACAGCCCTGGGCACACCCAGCATCATCCCCTCAAGCCATCCCAGCCCCTGAGCAGTGGGCCCTGTTATTCTCCGCTTGAGGAAGCCAAAACCCAAGGATGATAGAGACAGGTCGGTCCAACTCCAGAGCCACGCTCCAGACCGCCATCTGCGGTTCCCTCTCTGGCCATGAGGGAGGAGCCGACGGTCCCAGTGTGTGGCTGTCAGGTCCACATGCACAAGCCCCCTTTGGGATGCCTGTCTGCAGATCCACCCAAGCCCCATAGTAGGGACATTTTCCCAACTGGAGTTTCTGTAAGAGCCTCCCACCCTAGGCCTGGAGACAGAGTCACCTGGCTGGGGCCTGCCTCCAGGTGAAGGACCCTCTCCTGTGAGGCCAGGTTCTCTTGGGGCAGCTGATAGTGTCCTCAAATCACTAACAGGCAGACTGAGGTCCCGAGAGGAAAAGGACTTGCCCAGGATCCCACTGCCAGGCAGAGCCAGGACAGGGACCCAGGCCCTGTGCTACCCTGGGGCTTGCTCTCATCGGCCTTGTGGTCTGGTGAGGGGCCTCACCAGCTTCAGGGCCAAGTCAGGGTTGGGAACGGGCAGATCTGAGGTTGAAAAAGTGACAGTGATGGTGGAAGAGCCAAGGGTTTCAGGCTGTGCTGAGCCCTGCAGGTGGTTCCTGCTCCCTCCCTGCCTCAGTTTCCCCATGTGTACAATGCAAGGGAATTTCGAAGGCCACCTCCTTATGTTCTTGTGACAGGGGTCTATGAGGGGCCTCAGCCTGGGAGTTTTTCCTTGTCACAGACCACCTCTAAGTCTGCCTTCTGGGGCTGGGGCTCAGACCTCCTGGGCCAGGGAAGAGGGCCCTGGGGGTTCTTGTCAGGGACGCAGCGACGCTGGCCTCTCACTCACCCTCAGTCCCTCAGCACTACCGGCACCTTGTGTAGCACGAGATCCACGGTAAACATTAGGAAACCGAGGCTCTAAGGGGAAGGGATGACTTCTGGGTCACATAGCTAGTGAGGAGCAGAACTCAAACACAGGAAGGTTCAGGCAGTAGAGGCAGAGAAGGCTTCCTGGAGGACGGGGCTTAGCACCTGTCTATTCAAGTCTTTCACAAGTGCCTCCTCTGCTAGGTGTATGCTGGTGCAGGTGAAGCCTGTGGTCTCCAGCTGGGGTTTGAAGGGAGAGGAGCATTGATCTTGGGCAGGGGGAAGTAGTTTGGGAGGTCCCTTCCCATCTGAGGGAGTTTGGGTTCTGGGCCCTGGACCCCAGCTTGGGGGAACTTCTTCCACCTTCTCACAACAGGCTAACACCTCGTGTCTCCTCAACTTCCCCAGCAGTGTCTCTATGGGATGCAGACATTGCAAAATCAGTTCTGGATTAGGACAGGGAGGGGGAGCAGCACCCGCCTGGCTCAGACGGGTCCCGAGGTGCCCTAGGGAAGAAGGGAATCTGATTCAGCACTCGGCTGGAATCCAGCCTCACTCCACCCAACGGGACCAGTGGCGAGATTGTCGGCTGGGGCTGATGCTCCTTCCACGCCACCAGGCAGAGGGGGCCTGCATGCCCACTTCCGGTGAGGTCCCAGAGAGAAGTGTGACTTGTCCGCTGGTTTATCCATCCATCACACAGTTACAGATGCAACAGCTCGTGAATGAGTGTCCACCCCACCACCAGCCACAAGGCTCCAGCTTCCTCCCGTGCTTGTGACTCACCCCCCACTTGACAGGACCGCCCCCTCTGCCCAAGAGTGAGGACAGTGCTCCCTCACTGCCCCTGAGCCCTTACCCAGGGCTGCTCTGAGAACTGGTCCCTGGGCCATTGCGCTGACGCTGGCAGCTGTGGCCCTCAGGGGAGCCCACCACCTGCAGAGCCTTTGCCCTGAGCCAGCAGCTGCCTGGCCCTGAAATTACCCAACTTCCTAGTCGCTCCCTGGCTCAGCAAAGACCGAGCCTCAGGCTGGGGAATGAGACCACAACATCCAGCCCCACAGCTCGGGCTGAGGCCGCCTGCAGCAACTTCCCTCTTTGCAGACCACAGAGGCAGGAGCGGAAAAGGCCAAATCACAGCAGCTGGGAGAGGCCCTGAGACCTTCATGTACACCAGAAAGTACTGAGGCACTATTTCTCCTTTTCTCTGGCTTTGAGAGCCACACATCTGTGATGTGTTCTAGGAAAGAGATGTTCTGGGTTTACTCCCTTTTGGAGCACATTGTGTTCAGCACTTTTTTTTTTCTTTTTTTTTAACATCTTATTGGGGTATAATTGCTTTACAAGGGTGTGTTAGTTTCTGCTTTATAACAAAGTGAATCAGTTATACATTTCAGCACTTTTTAAGATGAGAACTTCTCAGCTTCTCCAGGCCATGCCCCAAGCCCCTGAAAGCTCTCCTCATCAAAATGCACTTTGCTGTGGTCTTTTCTCCCATTGACAACCAAGAGTTTAGCTTCCATTCCTCCAGGGCCAGCGCTGTAGGTTATTGGGACTTTGTTGCCGTAATGGTAGCCCCACACTGATGGCGGACTTGGGGGAGCTGTGACAGGCCAGCGAGTGGACTGCAGGCCCAGGGCTTTCTTGGCTCTCAGGTGACCATCTCTTCTCCTGCCCCCACCTCTGTTCTCCATGCAGCAGCCAGAGGGCCCATTTAAAACATAAACGAGTCCTGGGTCTGCTCCGGACTCCACCTCCCCTCACTGGCCTGGTCTGGCCCCAGCTCCTCTCCAGCCTCCTCTCTGCCTGTCTCTGTGTGTCTCTGCCTCATCACACATGGCCGTTTGCGTCTTCCCACTTCGTGACTTTTGCCTCTCCTGTCCCCTCTGCTAGGAGCAGTGACCCTGACCAATTTTCATGCATCCTTCAGGTCCCAACTCAATTGTCACCTCCCCAGGAAGCCACCTGGGCCTCCAGCCTGGGTCTTCTCAGTTCTCTCACTCCCAGCACTGCCCATCCAGTGATGGGCAGTGGACCCCTGGGTCCCGGCTGGCGGGTGGGGCTGTGGGCCAGGCCTGGACCAGGGCTCAGGGAATGTGACTGCTTGGCCCAAACTCAGACCCCCTCCCACACGCCTGCTCACACGGGTTGGCCTCGGGCATGGGTCTGGCTGCTGGGTCTCTGACCGCAGGGCACCAGAGAGGGCCCTGGGCTGGCCGAGGGGGTCATTTGCGAGTGAGGTGGGGACGTGCTCAGAGCAGAGTGACAACTGGAGGGCCAGCCCCATGGCGCGTGGCTGAAGCTCTCATCCTGCCTGTGCCCAGGGGACGGAGGATGGCGTCAACCGTGTTCTCCTCCCCAACAGTGTCAGCCTGTCATTTAGTGTTTATGTTTAAATGAAAGGGGTGAATGAGCACCAGCTTGAGAGTCTAGGTTAAAGTTCCTGGGTGGCTACAGGCGAGGGCCACCCTTCTGGGGTTCAGTTTCCTCCTTTGAATCACCCAGGGTGGAACAAGAGGACCACAGAAGGCAGAGACCCTGAGGCTTCTGGGTGTGCCTCCAGGCCCCCGGGCAGAGGCAGAGGTGTGTGGCTGTGGACATAGAGACACACTGTGGCAGGGACAGCCTGTGACAGGCCGGTTTCCCCCACACTCAGGGCCTTCCCTGTTCTCACTGCCTCCCCAGTGAACAGATGGGAAACCAGGGCCTGGAGAGGGGTGCTAGGCCTCGCTGCGATCAAGGGTCAGGGCTGTGTGCAGGGTTCAGGTCCCTCACTCCAAACCCTCCCCATGCCCAGGTACAGTCCAGACGCTGTGACATGAAGACCAGGTTTGTCACTCACATACCCTGCACCCCGTGCCCTGCCATCAAGAAGCGGGTGTGTCCCTCGGGCTGGCTTCGGGAGTTCCCGGAGAAGATCTCACAGGACTGCCGGTGCGGACCCCCACTCCACCCTTGCTTGCTTCCAGGGGTATCCTGTGGGATGGCAGGGGACCAGGAGGGCCTGGCAGGCCTGGGTAGTGAGGGCAGGGACTCATTCATCCACATGTCTGTTGGCCCCTCCATTGGGACAGAGATAAGTAGGGAGAAAGGAGTAAGAATGCAGGGCAAGTGCTGTTTATTGAGCATCTACTATGGACCAGGCCCTGTGTTCAGCTCAGGGCCAGGCGGGAAGGGGTCGGGAGACCAAGAGTAACAGAACCCAGTGTGGGGAGGCTGGGCTGGAGGCTGCTGGGGGAGACCCTCCCATCGCCCTGCCCATCCTTGGTCCCCAGGTACGAGGTCCAGCTGGGGGGCTCTTTGTTGTCTGTGAGCGGCTGCAGCGTGGAGTGCTCGAAGGACGTGGTGCAGAAGGCCTGCTGCCCTGGCTACTGGGGGTCCCAGTGCTATGGTATGGGGGAGGGTCCCAGCCTTGCTCCTCATGCCTCAACCCGCCTACCTTCCCCTTCAACTGGCTTATTTAACGGACAGCTGGGCCTCTTGGCTCTGGCTGCCCCAGGGGAGGGACCAAGTCTGGGGCTGCCCAGAGCTGCTGGGGTCAGGTAAATTGAGAGTTCTTGGGGCAGAGCTGAGTTCTAGGCGGGGGGGGGGGGTCCACAGAGTGCCCTGGGGGTGCTGAGACCCCATGCAACAGCCACGGGACCTGCCTGGATGGCATAGACAGGAACGGGACCTGCGTGTGCCAGGTAAGGGCCCGGTGGGGCTGGGGTGGGGGGCAGTGGAGGGGCTGCACTGACTTGGTGCCTCCCTCTGCCAGGAAAACTTCAGTGGCTCAGCCTGCCAGGAGTGTAGAGACCCCAACCGCTTCGGCCCTGACTGCCAGTCAGGTGAGTGCTGGCCAGGCAGGGGGCGGGGCCGATGTCCACTTGGGGGCCAGTGGGGACCTGGTCCCTACAGCCAGCCCCTACCAGACTCCCTCCCAGCTGCTCAGCCTCACACATCCCTTCTAGGAATATGAGCTTTGCTTTATTATACCTCTAGCCCCTGCACATGCTGTTCTTGAAGGCCTCCTCCAGGAAGCCTTCCTTGAACCTCCTAGCTAGCACAAGTGCCTGCGCTGGGCTCCCACCACCCCTCTGGTCCTGCACCACAATTCTGTATTTTTGAGGTTGTGCCTGTTGGAGCTGAGTTCTGGAGATGCAGAGGGCAGGGACTCGACGTCCCTGTGTGCCCCTGGCTGAGACTGGGGTCCCACCTGTCCGTGTGTATCCCTCCCAGTCTGCAGCTGTGTGCATGGCGTGTGCCGCCATGGGCCACTCGGGGATGGAAGCTGCCTGTGCTTTGCTGGATTCACTGGACCCCACTGTGACCAAGGTGAGCAGCTGCTGGGGTAGCCAGTCTTTAGTGGCCAGAGCAGGAAAGACTGACTGGGTGAAGGATGGGGCCTGAGCCTCAGCAGGACCTCTGCCTGCAGCCTCTCTCGGGGGAGGGGGTGTCATCTGAAACCTTCACTGCCCAGAGGCCCAGAGAGGATGGGGCCCTGGCCAGGGTCACACAGCAAATTTGGCATAGCATCTTCGCTCCTGTGTTCCTTCCCAACCTGGGACTTTGAGCTGCTGTGATAACTCTCCTTTCTCCACTCAGAGCTCCCGGTCTGCCAGGCCCTGAACTGTCCTCAGAACTCCCAGTGCTCTGCAGAGACCCCTACCTGCAGCTGCCTGCCTGGCCACACCCAGCAGGGCGGCGAATGCCTAGGTAAGTCTGGGATCTAGAGGCTAGGAGCCCCAGCTCAGGGTGAGCATCCTTTTAAACCAGCAAGTACGATCTGGCCTTTTACAGGGAGGGAGAACTCTCCCTGAGGGAGGGAAATAGGGCCTGTCCTCAAGGTCTAGATCAGCCTGTTCACCCCATCCCTGGGCCAACCTGGATAGAGGCTATGGAGGAGATGGGCCTCCTGGGTGCTCGTCTCACTTGGGCTCTTTCCACTGCCCCGGCAGCCCCTGACCCCTGCCAGCCGTCACCCTGCTCCCCAGTTGCCCAGTGCTCCGTGAGCCCCAGGGGGCAGGCACAGTGTCGCTGCCCTGAAAACTACCATGGGGACGGAACGGTGTGCCTGCCTCAGGATCCATGCACCACCAACAACGGCGGCTGCCCCAGCAACTCCACCTTATGTCTGTACAAGAGGCCAGGCCAGGTGAGCTGGGGCCCTGGGCTGGGCCTGCCCTGCGGTCCCCCAGCTCGCATGGGCTGTGGGACAATCGCGGGCCTCCTAGGAGCCTAAGCTGCCCCATTTGTTAAATGGGAAGAGAATGACAGCCCGCTTCTGGGCCGGTGGCTGTGAGGACCCAGCAGAGCTCTGTGGGTGTGGCAGATGCCACGGTTCTCACGGATGTGGTGTCGTCCTCCCTCCCCTCCCGGGCGGGCCAGGCTTCCTGCTCATGTAAGCCAGGCCTGGTCAGCACCAACCGCAATGCCTCTGCGGGCTGCTTTGCCTACTGCTTCCCCTACTCCTGTGACCGGTCAGCCACCTGCCAGGTGACCCCTGATGGAAAGACCAGGTGAGCACAGGCACCTTGGGCTGGGCACCAGGGCCAGAGCAGAGAGGGTGGGCTTGGCAGGGGCAAGTTTGTGCCTGTGTGTACCTCAAGGGCTCTGTGGGGTTGGTGGGTGAGGGCCAGGAGGGGGACCTGGCCACGCCCCCGCCCTGACCAGTTCTACCCATGCCCCCAGCTGTGTGTGCAAGGACGGCGAGGTGGGAGATGGGCGTGCCTGCTACGGACACCTGCTCCACGAGGTGCAGAAGGCCAGCCAGACGAGCATGACGTTACTGCGGCTGAGAGTCGCCTTTGCCATGCTGGGTGTGTGACCCCCGCCACTCGCCTGAGACCCCGCCCCTTGCACCCAGCATCCTTGGCAGACTCTCCAGAGATGCCTTATTTCTCTGCCCAAGAGCTGTGGAAGCAGAGAATGGACTGTGGTGGGGTGCATGATGGAGGTGGGAGCTACCCCCCCAGATCCTGATGTCCCCATTTACCCTAGATCTAGTCCCAATGCCGCCCCCCCCACCTCAACTCTCCAAAACCCAGGACTGATGGCTGAGGGCCTCCCAGACCCGTTCTGATACACCCTCTCCTGCCCCCAGACCAGGGCTGCCGGGAGATCCTCAGTACATCGGGCCCATTCACCGTGCTGGCACCGTCCATATCCTCTAGGACCATGAACGTGAGCCCCTGCCTATTGAGGAGTGGGCCTCCTCCCTGGACCCTGCCCTAGGCTTCAGGGCCCTGAGAGTGTCCCCAGTGCACACTCTAGGGGTCTGAGGCCTGGGAGGCCTCCTGTCCCCTTGTTGCTTGGGCAACGGTCCCTGAAGAGGACTGCCTGCCCTGCCCTGGGCCCACTCGGCACCCCTGTCCCCTTGTGCCCACAGGCATCCCTTGCCCAGCAGCTCTGCAGACAGCACATCATCGCAGGGCAGCACATGCTGGAGGAGTCAGGGACCCAGCCTACACGCAGGTGGTGGACGCTGGCTGGACAGGAGATCACCGTCACTTTCGGCCGCTTCAGGGTAAGCAGGGACCTCAGCCCGGGGACCAGAGGAGTCATAGGTGGGAAACAGCCCAGGAAAAGGTGTGGAGGTGGGACAGAGCCTCAGGACAAGGGGTGGGTGTTTGGAGTCTGAGCCAGAGGTCTCATGTCTCAGCAGAAATACACCTACAAGTACAAAGACCAGCCCCAGCAGACATTCACCATCCACAAGGCCAACTACCCAGCAGCCAATGGCATCTTCCACGTGGTCACTGCCCTGCGGTGGCAGCCCCCACCAGAGCTCCCGGAGGACCCCAAGGTAAGCTAGTGCCTTCCCCTCCCCCCGCCCTGTGCCCCTGCGTGGCCTCTGACCCGCACTGAGTTCGGAGAGGGGGGCGGGGCAGTTCTGGGCAGGGCTGGAGCAGAGCTCCTTCCCCTCTGGGGCCCTCATGCTCATCCCTTCCTACAGAGGACAATCGGCCAGATCCTTGCCTCCACTGAGGCCTTCACCCGGTTTGAAACCATCCTGGAGGTGAGTCTGGGCAAAAGGTCCTCGCCCATCTGATCCTTTGTCCCAGGACCCCTCACTACCCAGAATCTGCCCCACAGTGATCTGGGCTTCTGGACTAGGACGGGCCTTTGCCCACACCCCGATCCTGGAACCTGCCTGTCAGAATCCTGAGGCTCTGTGGTAGCATGAACCCATTGCCAATGTCACCCACTTACTTTTGGTGGGTGTTCCCTGCAGGCCAAGGGCAGCAGGGCCCAGGCAGGATTTAGAGGTAAGGGTTGGCCACAGAACCCCCTGAGACTCCTTCTCACCGCCACAGAACTGTGGGCTGCCCTCCTTCCTGGATGGCCCTGGGCCCTTCACAGTCTTTGCCCCCAGCAATGAGGCAGTGGATGGCTTGCGGGACGGCCGCCTGGTCTACCTCTTCACAGCGGTAAGCTTGTCGGGGAGAAGGGGCCAGGGATACAGGCTCAGAGCCTCTAGCAGCCAAGCCCTCTCGTTCCTGCCAGGGTCTCTCCAAACTGCAGGAGCTGGTGAGGTACCATGTCTATAGCCACGGCCAGGTGAGAGGTCCTCTGGGAGGGTGGCTGGCTTACACCTGCCAGTGGGCTGTCAGAGGGTTTGTCTGCAGATTCCGGTCTTCCGGGGGGCCCCTTCTCCCCTCCCCGCCCATCTGGACTCTACAGGACAGAGGAGAGCCTGGGGACCAAGGTGGTAGCTGCGAGTCACCTGGGCAGGACTGGGTGTGGCCCCAAGGTGTGGCTAGTGCCTGGCCTAAGGCCACTCTCTTCTCCACCCCAGCTGACTGTTGAGAAGCTCATCTCCAAGGGCCGGGTCCTCACCATGGCAAATCAGGTCCTGGCTGTGAATATCTCGGAGGAGGTGAGCTCCATGAGCACCAGGGATGGACCGGTGGAGGGGCTGGTGATGACCAGCCAGGTGTCAAGCCTCTTTCGGACCTGGCTTCGTGCTCCGAGCCCTGCGGTGGGCGTGCCCTGGTGGAGGGTCATATGGGAGCAGGCACAGACCAAATCCCTCTCCTGGGGCCCAACAAGCTGGGAGGGCTCCAAAGAGGAGGAGGGTGAGCACATGGGCAGGGGGAGGGGCTCCACGTGACAGAAACCATGTGGGTCAGGGTGCAGAGGCTGGAGCGGTTCTGCCAGAGCAAGAGATGTTGCCAGGGAGCGGGTGAAGAGGTGGGTGGCAGGCTGGGCTTCTGATGGTGTGCTGAGTGCAGGGGCAGGGACTGGGCCAAGGATGCATGCTGGGCTCCGCCACAGGGGCGCATCCTGCTGGGACCTGAGGGGGTACCCCTACGGAGAGTGGACGTGCTGGCTGCCAACGGCGTCATCCACATGCTGGAAGGCATCCTGCTGCCCCCGACCATCCTGCCCATCCTGCCCAAGCTCTGCAACGAAGAGCAGCACAAGGTCGTGGCGGTAAGCGCACGGGACCCCAGCGCTGCTTGGGTCGGGGTCATCTTCCAAGGGAGAGGTACCGTTTTCTAGTTCTCCTCAAATGAGTGGGTGGCTTTGGGGCTCGAGCACAGGCCCCAGTTTTCACCTGGACGCCCCACACCCAGCCCTCAGCAGTCCTCCTGATGGTCCCTTTGCCGTCACTCACGCATCTACAGCCCTATACCCAGCCTCCCTGCCCAAATCTGTGATGCTCTCACACTGAGGTCTCCCGCCGCGGGGCCTTTGCCCTTGCTCTTCCCTCTGCCTGGAACACCATCCTCTGGCCCTCCTGTGGTGACTCTTTCTCATACCTCAGGCCTTGGCTGAGTGCCTCTTTCTTAGGGTTTGCTAAATAAATAAACCATGACTAACCCTTCTCCCTTCCTCCCCCTACCCTGCCTAGGGCTCCTGTGTGGACTGCCAAGCCCTGAACACCAGCATGTGCCCCCCCAACAGCGTGAAGCTGGTGAGCATCCCTTGGCCCAGCTCTCAGGGCTGACTCCTGACTGCCCCGTGAGGTTTCTGCCCTGGGTCAGGGTGGGGAAGTGGGGCTGGGAGGCTCAGCTGGACCTGGAGGCTCAGCCCCACTGACAGGGGAGGTGCCGGGCCCAGGGGGCCAAGGTCCTTTGACCAGGGCTGCCTGGTGAAGGGGGCCGGCCCAAGACCCCTGCCTGCTGACCAGCCTGGCACGGCCCACCCAGGACATCTCCCCTGAGGAGTGTGTCTACATCCATGACCCTACTGGGCTGAACGTCCTGAAGAAGGGCTGCGCCCACTACTGCAATCAGACCATCCTGGTGAGCCTGGGCATGGGGCACTTGCTCCCTAGGGATCTGGGGCACTTGCTTCTCCTCTGAAGCCCCCAGGCTGGGGCTGGGTGGTCTGCCATCCTCAGAGAGCTGTGCTGCATCCTAATGGTGGAAGAGGTGTCACAGAGGGGCCTCGCCCACCCCCTTGCTCTAGACATGGCACCAGGGAGCAGAAGCAACCTGGGCCAGGGGGTTGACGTGGCTCCTGACGGACCCTCAGATGTGTTCTCTCTTACAGAAACCTGGCTGCTGCAAAGGGTTTTTTGGGCCTGACTGTGTGCAGTGTCCTGGGGGCTTCTCCAACCCCTGCTATGGCAAAGGCAACGTGAGTCCCCTCCTGCCCTGGAGTGAGGGGTGGGGGAGATAGGGGCTCCTTTCTGAGTTGGCCGGTGACTGGCTGTATGTCTGAGCAAAGCCTGCCTCTCTCTGGTATTGGGTTCTTCACATCGAGGCAGTGGAAGTTGGACCAAATTATGTTTATTTTAATTAGAATCAATTAATTAGATTGTTACATCTATTTTCATAAGGGCTATTTGTCAATAGTTTTTTTTGTGTGTTGTATTTTTGCCATTTTGTAATATCACGATTGCTTTAGCACCTGGCTATGGAGGAGCACAGGAGTTATGTGTTTCTAGGTTAAGCAGAAGTCACCCATGAAGCTTCCAGGGCCAGGTGCCTTTTAGGGGCTAGTTCTTTGGCAGCATCAGTGAGTTGGAAGGTCTCTTCCAGCAGGAGGTCTTCTAGGGGGAGCAGGAGCTCACAGCCTGTGGAGAGAAGGGATGTTAGGGAAGAGAATGTGGATAATCCCCTCCCCGTGACTGCTCTTGCCTCCTGCCCACCCCCAGTGCAGTGATGGGGTCCAGGGCAGTGGGGCCTGCCTCTGCTTCCCAGACTACAAGGGCATCGCCTGCCACATCTGCTCCAACCCAAACAAGCATGGAGACCAGTGCCGGCAAGGTGGGTGATCCTGGCCTAGGCCACCTGCCAGGGAGAAAAAGGGTCGCTTGGAAGTGGGACTGGGGACTCCCAAGAAGGGAAATAGAACCCCAGGAAAAAGGGTTCAGTCCAGAGGTTATGGAGAAGGTTTTGGAAACACAAGAGTAGATGTCTCTTTTACCCATGCCTGGAAGAGAGCTACAGTTTAACCTAAAGCATGCAAGATTTAGGTCAGACATACAGAAGAACTTTCCGATGGTGGTGTTGGGAGCAGGGCAGCTAGAGTAGGGTGACTGAAAGCAATGAATGCCCCCCTCTCATTTCTTCCTCCCTCCTGAGTCTGGGATGACCTGAATTTGACCCTGCAGTCAAATCTATTCTGGCTGCCCCATTCCCAGCATTGCCCAACTGCATCCTGGCTCCCAGCCAGCCCTGCCTCAGCCTCAGTTTCCCTGCTCCATCTCCTCCCTGCAGACTGCGGCTGTGTCCACGGTCTATGTGACAACCGTCCAGGCAGTGGGGGGGTGTGCCAGCGTGGCACATGTGCCCCAGGCTTCAGTGGCCGCTTCTGCAACGAGTCCACAGGGAACTGTGGGCCCACAGAACAGGCCCAGCAGTGCCACCTGCATGCCCGCTGCGTTAACCAGGGGGATGTTGCCAGGTGAGGACGTGCGCTTCCTCTCTGCTGCGTCTGTGACTGCACTTGTCAGTTTGCTCACAGCTTTCAGAGGCTTACTGGAGGCTCCTCATTCACTATCTCCCACCTCCAGGTGTCTCTGTCTCGATGGCTTTGAGGGTGACGGCTTCTCCTGCACACCCAGCAACCCCTGCTCTCGCCCAGACCGTGGCGGATGCTCGGAGAACGTGAGTCTGGCCCTTTCCTTGAAGTCCTGGCCCACGGGCTCGAGGTGGGACTCCCTTGCCCTCAGCCTGCCACCCTGCAGCCCTGAGTCATTTATCTGTGGCTCTCACAGGCTGAGTGTGTCCCTGGGGCCCCAGGCACCCACCACTGCACGTGCCACAAGGGCTGGAGTGGGGACGGTCGTGTCTGCGTGGCCATCGACGAGTGTGAGCTGGATGTACGAGGCGGCTGCCATGCTGACGCCCTCTGCAGCTATGTGGGACCCGGGCAGGTGAGGCTTGGCCGGCCTCGAGAGAGCAGGGTGGGGGCCTCCATCCTGGGGGACTCTTCCCCCTAGCCCATCTGACTCTAGCAGTGTCTAAGAACTCAAGCTCAGGGTCTCAAACCTCAGACACAAATGAGAATCCAGTTCTGAAATGTTGAGTTGTACAATCTGGAAGCAGTGGACGGGTGCTGGAAGCAATGCGAAGGTTGCAGTAGTTTTAAAGGAAGGTGTGTTCGAGTGCCGGTCTAAGGCAGCATTTTTTCCAAGTCAGAAGACTGTGGCTCCTGTGTCTCAGGGATGAGGACCCTCATAACCGAGAACCAATGAGTTCTCTGCTCTTACGGGCCACTGGGGCCATTGCCTTCTGACAGTTAGCTGATTCACCCGCTCACTGGTTTCCCACATGTCCCCAGGCACTTGTTACATGCTAGTTGCTGTTCTAGATTTAGGAATTCAGTATTGAGCAAAGCAAGAAGAGACAGCTGCCCAAAGAGAGTGACATCCCCAAATTTTTAGACTCATGGAAATCCAGCTCTTGGAGTTTTGGAGTCTCAGACTCCAGTCACAGGATCTCAGAATCTGGAATCTTCCACGTGAAGCACGTCAGGCCTGGTGAGCCGGAGGACTGGCTGGCGTTGAAGAATCTAATATGCAAGTTGGGAGGCCAGGCCTGGCTGCTTCAGGGTCAGCCTCTGTGTGGCCCAGGCTTATGCAGGGATCCATGGGGCTCCCTGACTCCTGCCCCATGATTGTCTGGACCACCAGCCGTGGGACCTCAGCAGTGACACTCAGATGGGCCTGAGAGCTGGAGCTGCGAACTCCATCAGGAGCTTTATAGTTCAGAACTGAGGGTGGAATAAGCAGTTGCAGATGCCCCCATCATGCAAAGAAGGGCAACTGAGATCCGGAGAGTCTCACTAGTCACTCACCTGAGGTGTGGACAAGCCCAAGGACACTGGCATTTAGCGGGAAGGATCAGAGCAGCCAAGCAGAGTGGCGGGGTTGGAGGGGGATCCGAGCGGCCGTCCCTGGGGCTGGTCTTGGTAAAGCCTGCCCACTCATCACACACTGCAGACATCAACAGCCTGGCTGGGCCCAGGCCTGAGAGCAGAGAGGCCCCGAGGCTCCTGGATGCCCCCCTGCCAATGCCGTCACTTCCTCAGATTCTTCCTGAGAGCCAGTCTCCCCTCAGGGCCTCAACCTCTGCATCTAGAACATGGATCTCCAAGGGTGGGGCTGGGAAAAGCTCCTCTGGGGTCTGAGCAGACCACCCCAGGGGAGAGTCCCCATCGGGAGCTGAGCTGTGGAGGAGGAAAGGGTTTCATGCTTCTGGTGAGATGAGGCTCTCTGCTCCCCAACCTCTCCAGAGCCAGTGCACCTGCAAGCTGGGATTCGCGGGGGACGGCTACGTGTGCAGTCCCATTGACCCCTGCCGGGCAGGCAACGGTGGCTGCCATGATCTGGTGAGGGGGTGAGAGGGCTCCAGGCCCAGGGGAGGCTTCAGGGGTAGGCCTTGGCCGCAGCAGTGTCCCTGTCTCTGGTCAGGATTGGGATCTTTCTCAACCTGAAATCCAAACCCTGTCACCTGCTTGCCCACGGAACAGAGCTTTCACCCTCCTTATAAAGATCCCAGCCCCTGCCCTCACCACCCTTGTCCCGTGCTCCCAGCGCCACACCTTTGGCCTGGCTAGCTCCTCCTGCCCTCAGCTCAGGCCTCACCTGGAGGTCCGGGGCCTCCCTGATGCTCCCACAGCCCTGGACTTCCCTGACCCATCTGCCAGGATGGGTTGGGGTAGCTCACGTCACATGCTCACTGGCTTGGAGAGCAGGGCCGGGCACACCAAAGGAGCAGCTTGAATACAGACTGGATAGAGGGAGAGACAGATGGTAGGGATGGGGACAGGAGGACAGCAGGAGGATGGGCCAGAGTGAGCAGAGAGATGGAGGATGGGTGCTGTCCAGCTTGCCCTATGGGTGCTGAGTGGAGGCCATGTCTCTCTGCCCTCCAACCCCAGGCCACCTGCCGGGCAGTGGGAGGAGGTCAGCGGGTCTGCACATGCCCCCCTGGCTACGGGGGTGATGGCTTCAGCTGCTACGGAGACATCTTCCAGGTTCGTGGTTTCCTGTGCTCAGGGAGGAGTCCTCTTGTGTAATCCGGGAGTGGGGCCGCACTCAGGATCATGGAGGGAGGGGGCTCAAGTCTATCCCTAGACTGGTGACTTCAGCTTTTTCCCTCCCCTCAGGAGCTGGAGGCAAATGCCCACTTCTCCATCTTCTACCAGTGGATCAAGGTAGGATCGGATGGAATGCTGGGCTTGGGGACTCAGATCCAGGAGGCCACATAACAGCTCTCAGAGCTGGAGGTGGGGGGCAGGCCTGGAGGCTGGGGGAAGTGATCTCAAGGTGGTGGCTGCCTTCATCACTCCTCCTGTCCCCCCCACACCATGCGCACAGGGGGCCGGCATCACTCTTCCTGCTGACAGCCGAGTCACAGCCCTGGTGCCCTCGGAGTCTGCCATCCGTAGGCTGAGCCCTGAGGACCAGGCCTTCTGGCTGCAGCCGGGGATGCTACCGCAACTGGTCAGGTGGGCTGCCACGTCTGGGCTCTGGGAGGGGGCTTTTGTGTGAGACCCAGCCCCTCCCCAGAGGTCCTCAGCCTGGCATGTGTGCACACTTCGGGGTGGAGCCCAGTTCCAGGGGTCTCTGTAGGTTACACTAACCCGGTTCCATGGCCCCCCTGAACTGTGCCCTCTCAGGGCCCATTTTCTCCAGGGCGCCCTGTCTGAGGAGGAGCTGGCCCGGCTGGACGGGCAGAGTGTAGCCACCCTGAGCCCCACCGCACGCTGGGAGATTCACAACATCAGTGGGGTACGTGGTGAACTTTGGGCAGAAGAGGGGACCATACAGGGAAGGGGGGCCTCGAGTGGCTATAGGCTTCCCAGCCCAGGGTCCCCGGCGATGCGATTGGGTCCCCTTGCCCGGCCCAGGGCTGAGCTCAGAGGATGTGCTCAGAACACATTTGCTGCTGGGTGGTGTCTTTGGGCCAGAGTGACGGCCCTGCCAGGGCTTATCTGTTCATCTTTGTCTGCATGTGCACACCTGGCCCCCTCATGTATGGGCCCTAGTGAGGGTCTGTGTGCCCATCTGGTAGGTCCTGAGTCTGAGGGTGTCCAGGCCAGGTTGGGTGCCTTGTGCCCAGCAGCCTCTCTGTTGGTGCTACACGCACTCTTAAGTGTCTACCTGTCTACCCTGAGCTCTGCCTGCTGCCTTCCAGAGGGTCTGGGTGCAGAATGCCAGCGTGGACGTGGCTGACCTCCTTGCCACCAATGGTGTCCTACATGTCCTCAGTCAGGTATGGCTGGAGGGGGTGTGTGTGCAGGGAGCCTTCTAGTCACGCCAAGAGGCAAGGATGTACTGACCAGCTCCCGTGCTCCGTGCCAGGTCTTACTGCCTCCGAGAGGGGATGTGCTGGGGGGGCAGGGGTTGCTGCAGCAGCTGGACTCAGTGCCTGCCTTCCGTCTCTTCCGGGAGCTGCTGCAGGTAAGGGCAGCAGGAGTGGGGAGTCCTGGATGGGGGCACCCTCCCCCAGGGTCAGGACTGAGGGCAAGAAGGCCCACCCCTGATGCCTGCACCCACCCCTAGCGCCACAGGCTGGTACCCCAGATTGAGGCTGCCACCGCCTACACCATCTTCGTGCCAACCAACCACTCTCTGGAGGCCCAGGCCAACAGCAGCGGCCTGGTGAGATCACCGGGACAGGGGCCACTGAGGGGGGTGGGTGAGCCTCCCATCCCACGACAAGGACACAGCGGGCGGGACGCACCGTCCCGGGCGCTCTGGAGTCCTGGAGCCCCTGAGCCTCTCCTTCCCCCTCCAGGACTTGGACGTAGTGCGACACCATGTGATCCTGGGGGAGGCGCTTTCCACAGAGGCCCTGCGCAGGGGCGGACACCGCAACTCCCTCCTGGGCCCCACGCACTGGCTTGTCTTCTACAACCATAGCGGCCAGGTTGGTGGTGGGGTGGGGGAGCACAGGAGGCCCTGCCCTGGGCACCCTGCTCTTGAACACCCCTTTTCTTTGGAGTTCGCCCACCTGGGCACCTCAGCCTCTGGTCCAGAGACTTCCCATCCTGGGAGACCCCCAGTCCACAGAGATACCCCAGCCCTGGAGCGCCTCCCTGGCCTGCAGCCCCTGAGGGGAGGGTGGGGATGGGGTGGGGGGTGTTCAGCCTCCTGCCCTAACCCCCAGCCCGAGGTGAACCACGTGCCGCTGGAAGGCCCTGTGCTGGAGGCCCCTGGCCGCTCACTGTTTGGCCTGTCCGGGGTCCTGACGGTGGGCTCAAGCCGCTGCCTGCACAGCCACGCAGAGGCCCTGCGGGTAAGAGGCTGGGGCCTGGGGAGCGCAGAGGGGCAGTCAAGAGCCGGAGGCTCTGGCTGGCCTGGCCGGCGGGAGGGACACTTGGTCAGGGGTGGGCGAGCTGTTAGCCCGCCCCAGAGGAGGGAAGGTGGGTTTGGAGCCCCTGCCTCGGGACTGCCTGACACTCTGCTCTCCTTCCCTTCAGGAGAAATGTGTAAATTGCACCCGGAAATTCCGCTGCACTCAAGGCTACCAGCTGGAGGTGAGGCAGGGCCCAGCACATTCCGTCCCTGCTTCACCTGCTCTCACTGTGCCCAAGGTGTCCGAGCTCCCCGGGCCCAGCTCTGCTCACCCAGGCATGGGAACCTGGAGCAGCGTGGGCCGCTTGGCTCTCCTGCCAGAGGCCAGGAGGCCTGGGTCCAGGTCTGCCCAGAGGAGGCCTCACTCAGACTGGCAACCTGAGGCCAGTGACCCTCGGGCTGCCAGTCCTGCCTACCTTCTCCTCCTCAGGTCTATCTGTCGTGGTCCTTCCTTGACCCTTTTGCTATCCTGCTTACCTGTCTCACCCACTGACACCTGTAATCTGTCTGTCTCCCCATTCACTGCCTTGCCCCTACCTAAGCCACTGCCTGAGTCCTCCTGCCTGTCCCTATTTCCAGGACACCCCCAAGAAGAGCTGTGTCTACCGGTCTGGCTACTCCTTCTCCCGGGGCTGTTCTTACACGTGTGCCAAGAAGATCCAGGTTTGCCCTGAAGCAACCCCCAGCCCCAAGCCTTTGACCAGAGAGGAGGAGGTGGGAGTGGGGGCCCAGGGCAGGAGCTGGGATTAGGCTTCAAAGGCAGAGGCAGGGCTAGGACTATGACGAAGCCAGGGAAGCAAAGGCCTGGCGGAAGGGGGAGAGAGGTCTGAGGTCAGAGGGGCCAGTGTTTGTCTCTGTAGCTGTGCCTCCAGGGAGTGGGGATGGGGAGAGAGAGAAAGGGGCTCAGCCTAGAACTGACACCAGCAACCAAGCCCTGGGGGCAGCAATGGGGCGGGCTCTGCCCCTCTCCGTGGAGTCCGGTGTGGCCTTTCCGTCCTTGAGTCCGTTTCCTCACCCCTGCCATGGAGAGGCTTGTAGAAGGCAGTCTCCATTTCTCTGGGTCTGACTTGCTTTGTTCTGTGGCTCTGTGGCCCCAAGATGCCCTTCCCCCGACCCCCGCCGTTTCCCTGCCCCCTGACGTCTGTCCTGGCCTGTGCCGGGCCTCTCCTTGTGCCCCCTCCCACAGGTGCCTGACTGCTGCCCTGGCTTCTTCGGCACACTGTGTGAGCCGTGCCCAGGGGGTCTGGGTGGTGTGTGCTCGGGCCACGGGCAGTGTCAGGACAGGCTCCTGGGCAGTGGGGAGTGCCGCTGCCACGAGGGCTTCCACGGAACGGCCTGTGAGATGTGTGAGCTGGGCCGCTACGGGCCCAACTGCACTGGAGGTGAGGCCCCGGGGGCGGGCAGGAATGGTGGGAAAGCCGGCCAAGGACAGCGGTCATGGAGACGCTGCAGCAGGGACAGAACAGGCACTGGGTAACTTCTGTCCTGCCTCGTTCCGCTCCCAGTGTGTGACTGTGCCCACGGGCTGTGCCAGGAGGGGCTCCGAGGGGACGGAAGCTGTGTCTGTAACGTGGGTTGGCAGGGCCTCCGCTGTGACCAGAGTGAGGAGTGGCCCCAAGGGGGAGAGGCGGGTGACTCCTGGGGAGGCGGTTCCTGGGTCAGCATGATCAGAACCATCCTCCTACCCCCCCAGAAATCACTGGCCCTCAGTGCCCACAGAAGTGTGACCCCAATGCCAAGTGAGTGAGCTCAGCCTGGGGCAGGTGGGCAAGTTGGGGGGGGGGCTAGGGTCAGGGCAGGGGCTGGGCAGACATAGACTAAGCTGTTGCCACCCCTCCCAGCTGCGTCCAGGACTTGGCTGCAGCCCCTGCCTGTGTCTGTGCCGCGGGGTACTCGGGCGACGGCATCTACTGTGCAGGTCCAGGCACACCAATGCCCCGAGGCCCCTGAAATTTGGGGGTGGATTTCCCCACAGAGCCCTTTCCATGCCCTTTAGGTCCAGTCTCTATCCCTGTCACCTCTTGGGTCTTACCCCTCCCTCCGACCTTTTCCTTTCTCTCATGCCCTCCTCCCCTGTCCCCACTCTGTCCCATGCCCACTGCTCACAACTCTGGGATCATCTACCCCTAGTGGTGGACCTTTGTGCCCATGACCATGGGGGCTGCTCCCCCCACGCCAACTGCACCAATGTGGCACCTGGTCAGCGGACATGCACCTGCCTGGATGGCTACACGGGTGATGGGGAGCTGTGCCAGGGTGAGGCTGGGGTCCGCCACCAGGGGTCTGGCTTCAGTGGCATGAGTGAGACTAGGAAGGGCTGAGGGGCACACACAGGTGTGAGCCTGAGGGTGCCGAGAGAGTAGGGGATGAGCACCTCAACAGACAGATGAATGGAGGGGCTGCCTAGGGCCAGCCCTCATCCCAATGTCTTTTCCCCCAGAAGTTAACGGCTGTCTCATCCACCACGGGGGCTGCCACATGCACGCCGAATGTATCCCCACCGGCCCCCAGCAGGTCAGCACAGCAGAGCTGGACACTGGGGCTGTGCCATTCCCTCATAGGGTGTGGCCCTCCTCAGACCAGGCCCAGGGAGGGGTGCTCCTTCTGTCCAGGGCGCCGGCCCACTCTAGGGTACCAGCAGCCCCACTGATGAGGATTTGGGACAGGTCTCCTGCAGCTGCCGCGAGGGCTACAGTGGGGACGGCATCCGGACTTGTGTGCTCCTGGACCCCTGCTCCCAGGTCAGGCCCCCAAGTCGCACCCAGTTCCACAGGGGGAGGGGCCTGGGGCGGGAACCAGCCTTCCTCACCCCCAGCAGGGTCCTGAGTCCTCTGAAGGGTGAGCCACCTGCGCTCTGACTGAGGGGTCAAGGCCGAGTCTGACTGATGAGTTGGAGACAGGGCCTGGCTGTGGGCCAGGGAACTGCATGGCCGCTTCCCCAGAGCCGGTTGGGGCAGCAGTCCTGGGAGTCACTGATGCCTCTCTTTCCTGTCCCTGCCTCAGAACAATGGAGGCTGCAGCCCCTATGCTGTGTGCAAAAGCACAGGGGATGGCCAGAGGATGTGTACCTGCGATGCAGTCCACACTGTGGGTGATGGCTTCACCTGCCGTGCCCGAGTCGGCCTGGTAATGATGCCCAAGTAGGACCCCTGACCGAGCCTTGGCAATGCCCCCCATGGGCCTGACCCGTGATATTGGTTAAGACCCCAAATTTGATCCTGATCCTGGCCCTGACCAGGACTTGAGCCTGACCCCTGACTCCACCTAGGCATGACCGAGTTATGATCCATGAAACCAATCCTGATCCCAGCACAGAGCACCCTGGCTTTCCTTTCCTCATCTCTACCTTGGCCAGACCTTGGGCTCTAGGTGCCGGGACAGGCACCAGCCCTGAATGGAGGCCAACCACAATCTGAGCTGATCCTTGTCTCCCCTGATCCAGGAGCTCCTTCGGGACAAGCATGCCTCATTCTTCAGCCTCCATCTCCTGGTGAGTAACCAGCTGGCCTGCACATCCTTGGTCCAGCCTGGGCCTCTCTGACCTGCAAATCCCACCTGTCTCTGGGCCATGATATTCTCATTTGGTCAGAGGGCAGGCTGGTTTGGTTTCTGAGTCTGTGTCTCTCCCAGAAAATCAGTGGAAACCTCGAGTTGGTCCCAGGTCGCCCTTCTTCCACCCAAGCTGTTTCCCTCTCCCCCCCAGGAATACAAGGAGCTCAAGGGGGATGGGCCTTTCACAATCTTTGTGCCGCACGCAGATCTAATGACCAACCTGTCGCAGGTAACTCAGCCCCTGGAGCAAGGCTGGGGATTCTGGGGGGTGGGCGCTGCCTGGGCAGAGGTGGAAGTCAGGGCACCCTTGTGCCCTCATGACTCCCACTCCAGGATGAGCTGGCCCGGATTCGTGCCAATCGCCAGCTTGTGTTCCGCTATCACGTGGCTGGTTGCCGGCAGCTGCGAAGCCAGGAGCTGCTAGAGGAGGGCTATGCCACCACACTCTCCGGGCACCCGCTGCGCTTCAGTGAGAGGGAGGTGAGCCCAGGTCCTGGTCCCCGACATGGACTGTCCACAGACCAAGGACTCAGCTGCTTTCAAGGCCCGCACCTATGCCCTGTCCCCATGCTTTTAAGACCCTCTCACCTTCCCAGGGCCAGAGCGGCTTTAATGAGAGGGAGATGAGTCTGTCCCCGGACCCCACGCACTACCAGGGGCCAGTCCTGGGCTCAGGACTTCTGAGCTTGGCCCTGTGTCTGCACGGCTCCCACCAGCCAAGTCCGGTGGTTGTTTCCCTGGGTGGCTGTTTCCCTGGGCTGGAGGCAAGACCCACCCTCAGCCTTGACCCCGCCCACTTCCTGCTCCAAGACTCACCCAACCCAGGCTCTGCTCCCACCTCAGGCCCCACCACAGCTCCCTGAGCACCCCACTAATTGGCTTTATTCAATCCCGGCCCCACCCCCAGGGCAACATATACATCAATGACTTCGCGCGCATGGTGAGCAGCGACCACGAGGCTGTGAACGGTGTCTTGCATTTCATCGACCGTGTCCTGCTGCCACCTGAAGCGCTGCACTGGGAGCCTGACGCTGCCCCGATTCCGCAGGTATGACCTGGGTGCGGGTGGGGAGCTGGAAGGCAGGCGCCCGGGGGCCTGGGATCCTCCCTCCCCTCCTGACCTCACTGTTCACTGAGCGCCTGTCCCCAGAGAAACTTCACCGCCGCTGCGGAGAGCTTCGGTTACAAGATCTTCAGTGGCCTTGTGACGGTACTGCTCCTGTGTGTGAGCCTTTCAGTGTGTGTATATGTGCACGTTTAAGTGTGTATATGCGGGCGACTGTCAACGTGTGTGCTCACCTTTCTGTGCACAGGGACATATTTGTGGGCATGAGCATCCCAGTGAGCACAAGGGTGTGCTTATTTGTGCCCACATACTTGACGACTTGTATGTATGTCCATGTCTATTGGCCTGGGATGGCTACAGAGGAATGTGGCTGGTGGGAAGGTCACCTGGGTCCCTGGAGCCCCTCCATCTGCCCACCATCCTCTGACGGGACTGTCACACCTCTATCCTACCAGATGGCTGGTCTGCTGCCCCTGCTTCGAGATTCATTCCATAGGCCCTTCACAATGCTGTGGCCCACAGACTCCGCCCTGCAAGCCTTGCCTCCCGATCGCCAGGTCTGGCTATACCATAAAGACCACCGTGACAAGCTGGCAGCCATTGTGCGGGGCCACGTGATCCGCAACATCGAGGTGGGTGCACTCCCAGACCTTGGTCCCCACTGCCTGCCACTGAGCCTGCCCTCCCAGCTCCAACTGTGGCTCCATCTGCTCAGGCCTTGGCATCTGACCTGCCCAACCTGGGCCCACTGCGCACCATGCACGGGACCCCCATCTCCTTCTCCTGCAGCCGTGCCCGGCCGGTGAGTCTGGGGAGAAAGCTCGAACGAGGGAAGCAGGAGGCAGGGGCCCTGGCGGGGGCGGGGCGGGGGGGGTGCTGCAGTACACCTGTGACCCACCACGTACTCCACATCTTCCGCCTGCAGGGTGAGCTCACGGTGGGAGAGGAGGACGCCCGGATTGTGCAGCGACACCTGCCCTTTGAGGGGGGCCTGGCTTATGGCATCGACCAGCTGCTGGAGCCACCTGGCCTTGGTGCCCGGTGTGACCGCTTTGAGACTCGGCCTCTGTGGCTGGTGAGGGAGGCCACAGGCCAGAGGTGGATAGGCAGGGGCCTAAGCCCACCTGTCCTGTCCACTCACTTGAGCTTGCTTTGTTGGTCTCCCTTCCTTGCAGAAGGTTTGCAGCGTTTGTGGGCTGGAACCACCCTGTCCTGAGGGCTCACAGGAGCAGGTAAGGGGCTGGGAGCCAGGTGGGGGTGGGGGAAGGGCCCAGGGCCTACCAAGCTCAGGTTTGCAGCGCGATTCCTCTTGGCCCAGGGCAGCCCTGAGGCCTGCTGGCGCTACTTCTCAAAGTTCTGGACGTCTCCTCCGCTGCACTCCTTGGCACTGCGCAGTGTTTGGGCCCGGCCCAGCCACTGGGGTCAGCCCCAAGGCCTGGGCAGGGGCTGCTACCGCAACTGTGTCACCACCACCTGGAAGCCCAGCTGCTGCCCTGGTCACTATGGCAGTGAGTGCCGAGGTGAGTGTCCCGAGGCTGTGGATGCTGCTGGCTGGCTTCTCCAGCTCCCAAGGTGGCCAAGGGCATAGTTCTGGCCGTTGTGCCTCAGAAAGGGTGTCAGGGTGGTCAGGGGCTGGGGGCGGGGAGTGGATCTTACCAGGTGAGAATGCTCTAAGAGCTGGGGTGGGTGTGTAGATGGTACAGGACCTGGTGGGGTGTGTTGGGGGTCTGGGTGTTCTCCAGGGCGTGGGGAGTTGGGTGGATTGCTGCTTCTGCAAGAGCCTCTGCTGCTGCCGGGTGGCGGATGGACCGTGTGGCTAGGCTGGGGATGCGTGTCTGCGGCTCCCGATGAGCGTCCCTGGCCCCACCTCTCTTCTCCCACCCTAACCCCTAGCTTGCCCTGGGGGTGCCAGCAGCCCCTGTAATGGCCATGGTACGTGTATGGACGGCATGAGCGGCAGCGGGAAGTGTAGGTGCCATTCGAGGTTTGCCGGGATGGCATGTGAACTCTGTGCCCCAGGCGCCTTTGGGCCCCTTTGCCAAGGTAGGCTGTCCTGCCCGACCCTGCCCTATCCTGCTCCCTAATCCACATGGCCCATGTGCCGCCACCATCCTGCCTGTCCCTCTCCCCAGCCTGCAACTGTACCTCCCATGGCCACTGCGATGAGGGCCTGGGGGGCTCTGGCTCCTGCTTCTGTGATGAGGGCTGGACTGGGCCACACTGTGAGGTGCAGCTGGGTGAGTGGGCCCTGTGCTTGTGCCCACCCTGCACACTTGTATACCTGCACACACCAGTGCATGCCCCAACTGCACAGTGAGGTGGAAGGGGGTCTAGGAGGGCAGCCACTAACCTGGATGTGTGGGGTGGGCCCTGGGGGACAGAGCTGCAGCCTGTGTGTGCTCCACCTTGCGCATCCCAGGCCGTGTGCCGCGCTGGCCACAGCTGTGAGTGCAGCCTGGGCTACGAAGGGGATGGCCGCACGTGCACAGGTGAGCAGGAATGTGAGGTGGGAGGCCCCACTCCCCTCCCTTCCTGTCGCCTGGTCCAACCACTCTCTCGCTGCCTCCAGTGGTAGACCTGTGCCAGCATGGGCGTGGCGGGTGCAGCGAGCATGCCAACTGCAGCCAGGTAGGCACAGTGGTCACCTGCACCTGCCTGCCCGACTACGAGGGTGATGGCTGGAGCTGCCGGGCCCGCAACCCCTGTGAGGATGGCCACCGCGGGGGCTGCAGCGAGCACGCTGACTGCCTGAGCACTGGACCGGTGAGCAGGGGGGCAGCCAAGCAGCTGGGCGGGGGCCCCCCGATGAGCGGCTGCCCCAGTCCCTGAAGGGCGCCCACCTGCTCTGCTGTCCAGAACACACGGCGCTGTGCGTGCCACGCCGGCTACGTGGGTGATGGACTGCAGTGTCTGGAGGAGCCTGAGCCGCCCGTGGACCGCTGCCTGGACCAGCCACCACCCTGTCACGCGGACGCTGTGTGCACTGACCTGCACTTCCAGGGTGTGCTTCCCTGCCCTCTTCCAGCACCCCGGCTTTACCTCGGTGCCGGCCCTCTGACCATTGCATCCCTGCCCTCCACAGAAAAACGAGCCGGTGTCTTCCACCTCCAGGCCCCCAGTGGCTCCTACAGCCTGAATTTCTCACAGGCCGAGGCAGCCTGTGGGGCCCAAGGAGCTGTGCTTGCTTCTCTCCCTCAGCTCTCTGCTGCCCAGCAGGTGCGCAGGGCCCAGGAGTCTGGAGCCAAGCCTGTGGGGGCCCCTTGAGTTGGGTCTTGGGTCTCAGCATCTGTTTGTACCCCTACAGCTGGGCCTCCACCTCTGCCTTGTGGGCTGGCTGGCCAATGGCTCGGCTGCCCATCCCGTCGTTTTCCCGGCAGCAGACTGTGGCGATGGTCAGGTGGGCGTGGTCAGTCTGGGTGCCCGGGAGAACCTGTCGGAGCGCTGGGACGCCTACTGCTACCGCATGCAAGGTACAGCCACCCACCACGCCCCATTCTCTGCCCTGCCTTTTCCCACTGACCCACTAACTCACTGCCTTTCCTGCAGACGTGGCCTGCCGATGCCGTGATGGCTTCGTGGGTGATGGGGCCAGCGTGTGCAATGGGAAGCTGCTTGATGTACTGGCCACCACCGCCAACTTCTCTACCTTCTACGGGGTGTGCAGGGGCCCAGGCTCAGGACCGGGGGGTGGTACAGCTGGGATCCCTGTGGAGAGAGCCTACCCACAACCCTGTCCCCACCATCGCAGATGCTACTGGGTTATGCCAATGCCACCCCGAGGGGTCTCGACTTCCTGGACTTCCTGGACGACGAGCTCACCTACAAGACACTCTTCGTCCCTGTCAACGAAGGCTTTATGGACAACCTGGTAAGTAGCAGGGGATGTGGGGAGAGCAGGGCCCAACTCTGCTCCCTCTAGCTGGCCCAGGCCAACAGGCCCTGCTTTGCCCACAGACACTGAGTGGCCCAGACCTGGAGCTACACGCCTCCAATACCACCTTCCTGAGCACCAACGCCAGCCAGGGTACCTTGCTTCCCGCCCACTCGGGCCTCAGCCTCGTCATCAGTGACATGGGCCCCGACGACAGTTCTCGGGCCCCTGTGGTGAGTCTGGAGGCTGCCCCTCCCCTACTGGCCCCAGCCCTCACTCACCCACCGGGCCTGACCCTGGTCTCCCTACAGGTCCCAGGAGCAGTTTTGGTTAGCCACGTCATTGTGTGGGACATCGTGGCCTTCAACGGCATCATCCACACTCTGGCCAGCCCCCTTCTGGCACCCCCACAGCCTGTGAGTTGGCCAGGGGTGGCCAGGGGTGGGCAAGGGGTGAGGAGACTGCTCTGGCCAGGTCTCTGATGCTCTCCTCGTTGGCAGCGGGCAGTGGTGGCCCCGGAGGCCCCACCTGTGGCAGCAGGCGCAGGGGCTGTGGTAGCTGCTGCAGCGCTCCTTGGCCTCGCGGCCGGAGCCCTGTACCTTCGTGCCCGAAGCAGGTCCGCAGGCTTTGGCTTCTCTGCCTTCCAGGTAGGCTGGGCTGGAGACTGATGGGGTTGGTGGGGTCTGGGCCCACCGAGCTTGCTTGAGGCCTCTCACTACTCCCCTCCCTTCCCAGGCGGAAGATGCTGCTGCTGATGACTTCTCCCCATGGCAGGAAGGGACGAGCCCAACCCTGGTCTCTGTCCCCAACCCGGTCTTTGGTAGCCATGATGCCTTTTGTGAGCCCTTTGACGTGAGTGCGGGGGCTGGGGGCTTGGGAAAGGGGACCCAGGGCATGGTCTCAGTCCAGCCACTAACAAACATACAGTCCTCCCCTCAGGACGCGCTCCTGGAGGACGACTTCCCTGACACCCAGAGGATCCTCGAGGTCAAGTGACGCAGCCGGTGCTGAAGCAGAGGCATGAGCAGGAGGGAGGCAGCTTTTATTGCCCAGAGTGGGTGGGACAGCAGGGGCTGGGCCTGGTCCACACAATAAAGGTACCCTCAGCGGATGTGGGCCATATCGCCAAGGAAGGGTGTCTTCATGCATCCGGTGCAGAGCTGATCCATCCAGAGCGGTGCCTCGTGCTGCAGGGGCGTGCGGCGGGGGTAGAAGGTGAAGTCCACGCGGTAGTTGAGCAGACAGCTGAGGGAGGCCATGTAGAGGTCGGAGAAGCGCACCAGGCGCCGCGAGAAGTAGGTGGGGTTGTGGAAGGTGCGAAAGATGCTCCCGAACTGCGCATTGAACAGGGCCTTGGTGATGCACCTGGGGAGGGAGATGTGGGCACTCGTGGCGGGGGGGGGGCTCCTGAGGGGGCTAGGCTGGGGCTCCTGCCCAGGCCCCACCACTCACCTCAGCTCCTGCCGCTCCTTCATCCAGGCGGCCAGCACCTGCCGAGACTCAGCATCCTGGTAGGTCTGGGGGAGACAAGGGTTGCTCTGGGTGTGTGCGGCCAGGCAGCGGCCCCCCACCTCCCTGCAGACGTCCAGCTGCCCCCGCACCTGCATACGCTCCAGTAGCCCCGTGAGCGCCTGCTGCCACGTCAGCGAGTGCATGTACTGCTCCGTGTTGATGATGCGAATCTCTCGCTCCAGCTCAGGGATAATGGCACCTGTGCGCCAGCCGTGACGCAGCATGAGATCCTGTGGGGCAGGGTGCAGGGCAGGCAGGGCTCAGTGCCGGCCAGGAGGTCCCCCTCCCCTCCCCACCGCGACCCATCCCCGCCTCCCGCCCTCACCGCGAGGTCACTGTAGAGATGGTCTCCGAAGTAGAGCACACGGGGGCCTCGCCATTCCGTCAGACGCAGGAAGTCAAACAGGTTTCCCTGGGAAGAGATTGGGGGTGGGCGGGGGACCGGGCTAAGCCCAGTGTGCCGAAGGGGCTCCCCCAGGGCTATTCTCCACCAGTCTTCCCAAATCCTAATCCCCAGAGGCAGCAAGGCCCCTCTAGCCGGATGCTGGGCTGCCCTTTCCCGTGGCCTCGCTGTCCCCTCCAGGCTCCGGAAGGGGGTCTGCCTGGGGCAGGAAGGTCTCCTACAGGCCTGGCCTGGTGCCCTGGGCCTCCCCTCCCCGTGCCCTCACACCCACCCAAGCTAGGGATTGAGTTCACTCTTTGTGGGAAACAAACTGCAGCAGTGACCCCATGGCCCTGAAGCAAGCAGGCCACCTCAGCCTGAGCCCAGAGGGACCCAGCAGACCAATGGCAGTCCTCACCGTGAGGCCGCCTGCCCCTCCTGCGCCAAAGCTGGGGAGATGAAAACAGCCAGGCTCAAGCACAGCAGAGGAAGCTGGCAGGGGAGCAGAAACCGGGGCAGGGGTTGTGGGCGGGGGGCGGGGCACAGAGCAGGAGGTACAGCAGCCTCCACAGGGCAGGCACCCACAGCCCAGAAATGAGAATATACACCCAGCAAAAAGGAGTTACTAGAGGCAGTCTGCGGGCGTGAGAGGCCTGGGGAGGTGACAGCCGTGGGGGAAACAGGTAGCTGTGAAGGGCTTAATGTCAATGAAATAAGCTCAAGCAGAGAAGGCGAGGAGCAGGAGGGAAGCACGAGCGGGCGGGGCACTGAGGACGTGCCAAGATGACGAGAACCACGCACACAATGAAATTTCAGAACATCAGGCATACAGAAGTCTAAAGCCTGCCAGAGAAGAAAAATCAGTGTTCCCCACAAAGATGCGTGACCCTCCTCAGGCTCAGCCAGGATGCCAAGACAACAGGGAGCATCAGCCTCAGAGCCGAGGGGTAAAGCTGGTGCCCAAGGGGGCCACCGACAGTTGGGGGCCAGCAGGGTGGAAGGCCGAGCGGTCGGCAGGGGTGAAGGGCTGGGACCTTGGCACTGGGCGGCCCGAGGCTGCTCCCTGTGGCTGTCACTGGCCCGACTGCTGGCTTCTTCCCTGCCCCCAGCTTCTGGAACCTCCATCTCCAAGAAGCCCAGCTCAGCCAGGATTTCCGCATTCCACCCAGAGCCAAGTGCCTTAATCACCTCCTGCTCACAGCCACCTGACACTTCCCCACCAAGCACAAGGCCCTTCTCACCCTCCTAGCCAGCCAGAAAAGGGGTCTCCTCCGAGGCCTGTGCACTGCCCCCACCAGCCCAACTCAGGGGCCCCAACCAGGCTCATCTGGCTGCAGCAGAGTGCTCAGCCCGAGGCAAAAGCAGGGCCATTTATTGGGCACTTGGCGAATGCCCCAACAACCTAAGAGCTTCACACCACCACTCAAGTAGAGTATTATACCTCTTTTACAGACGAGGAAAGCACAGCACAGAGAGGCCAAGCAATTGGGCCAGGCCCTGGGAGCCACTTCCTGTGAGGGGACAGAGCCACAACAGAGGTGTGGTGGCTGGTCAGGGCCCAAGAGGCCGTGCGGCAGCCCCGCCACAGCCTGGGGCCGTGGCTGGGCCCTGGGGTCCCTACCAGGTACAACTCCCACCTAGATGGCTCTCACCTGCCGATAGATCTTGCCCTTTTCCAGGCGGGTGATACGGTCCCAATGCAGTGAGCCCTTCTCATCAAGTTTTCTGAAAGGCCTAGGGTGGGTTGAAAGGCCTAGGGTGGGGTTAAAGGGCCTGATTTCCAGTCTGTGGCAGGACCACAGGCTGGACACCTCCCACTCTCCAAAGACCCAGCTGCTCACCTGCCCATCAGCAAGGGGGTGCCCCCACCCCAGGCACACAGGGCGGCAAGCAGAGGCCAGTCCCCGCTCCCTGGGCCCATCGCCCCTGCCAGGCCCATACTTGCGCCGGTCGGTGAAGAAGCTGGGCTTGTCTGCCTGGACGATGACCACGTCGAAGAGTTGGCGCCAGTCGGCACCCACCATGTGCCGCATCCCCTTGTCCCTGGTGGGACAGAGTGGGACAGGTGGCAGGTGTCTGAGGGAGGCTCCAGGCCTGCCCACCCCAACTCAGGCCCCTGCCCTGCTCCCTCCTCCCACGGGTTGGGGGACACGGGGGGTGCTCACACGAAGCTGAAAGGACTGTTGGTGATGAGGAACAGCTGTTTCCCGTGCGCCACCAGGCGGCTGAGGACGGCGAATGTCTCATCCCCTCGCAGGATGTACTTCTCTAACGGGGGGAGATGGGAGCTTGTGAGGGCCAGCCCTGCACCCTGCCCAGGCAGGCCGTAGCAGGGCAACCATCCCCCCTTACCCATGTCCCGCTCGATCCACTGGTACATAAGGCCCTTCACGTGCACATCTCGAATGGCGTCCTGGGGGCAGTGGAGGGACAGTGAGGCCACAGTGGAGCCCAGGAGGACCTGCCCTGCTGTGGCTGGACTTCACCTTCCCTGCCACACTGGGAGGCAGGCCTAGCGCCCTCACCGTCACATCCTTATAGAGGTGTGCTTGGTCAAACTCCAGGCCATGGCCCAGGAAGTGGTCCACCACGCAGGAGAGCAGTGCCATCTCTGGCAGCGAGAAGATGTCCATGAACTGCTTGATGGAAGGACCCTGAGGAAGGACCACTGACTCAGCAAGCCCCAGCTCCGGAGACCCAAGAGCTCCAAATATGTCTTGGGACACTGGTGGAGGAGCACAGCCTGTGGGTCAGGGCTGGCGCACCAGGGTGTGGGCACTGCCTCCCAGGGAGCCAGCACCCGCTGTGAGGTCATGGAGCTGGCTGCCCCGGGCAGTGGCAGACGGAGCGAGTACCTTGCCATAGAAGCCACTCATCTGGTACAGTGGGATGTGCTGGGTGCCCCCATATAGGTCGATCACCTCTTCGTCTGGTACAGGCTGAAGGCCCCTGGGTGGATGCAGAGATCACCAGTCCAAAGTGGTCCTGAACCCGGGCCACGGTGTAGGGTGGGGGACCGTGGGGTGATGCAGGACAATGTGGACCTGGAGCAGCAGGTTGGGGTGGGGTCAGGGCAAGGTTAGCACTGACCTGTAGGCTGTCCCCAGTTGCACATAATGGAAGGCATCAATCTTCATCAGTAGACTCTGAGGGCACCAAGGGAGTAAGATGGGCAATGAAGGAGTTTCCATTAGCTCTGAGCCAGCCTTTGCTAGCCCCCTTGCCGAAGCCCCAGTTGGATGGTACCAAGGGTATCATGTGCACGCCAAGAGGAAGCTACAGCTTTGAGGCCAAGGGAGTAGAAAGATGAGCACCGCCCCCGCCCGCATAGGAGATGGGCGGCTAAGGAAGTAGTTCTGATATACATCCAGTCAGGAGGGGCCAGGGAGTCAGCGGTCTAGCCACTCACCTTCTGAATATCATAGTGGAGGCCACGGATGGCAAAGCTGGGGTTGTAGTCATACTTTCGAATCCCCTCCGGGTACTGTCAGGGGAAATCAGGTCAGGCCTGAGCCAGCAGTACTGACAGACCTGCTGGCTGGGCAGCTGCCTCAGGGGATCAATTCAGCCACCCATCCAGGGGCGCCCCATGATCCGGCCTGGGACCCCTACCTGTCTGGCCTCACCTTGTAGTGCTCAATCAGGATGTCACGGGCGGCAGTGAAGATCTCTGGGTGCAGCGTGTCCGCATACTGGGCCAGGGTGTAGTCATAGTCGAAGCCGTAGACCTCGACATCACGCAGGCTGATCTCGTTGTTGGCATAGATGGCCGCTGGGTTCAGGAGACTGCAGACCTCAGGAGGCAGGAGGTCTAGAGGAAGGAGGTATAAGTATAATGAGGATGATCAGGAAACACCCTAAAATGGTACTCTTAGCTCAATGCAGCATTAGGTCAAACTGAGGCTCAGAGAAAAGTCACTCGCCCAGGGTCACATGGGTGGGGTAAGGACCCTATGGGTCCTGGATTATACCACCGCCTGCAGCCTACCAGTTGCTCTGAGCCATGCCTCCTCCAGACTCTCATAAGCCCCATGGGACACCTGGCTATGCTCTGACACTTTCCACCTTGCCTGAAGCTGGGGTTGGGACTTAGGAGAATTATCAAGGTGAGGGGTACTGGGTAGCTCCGCTGCTGCTCAGGGCCCCAGCTCTGTGCACCTGCCACAGGTCTCACAGTGAGGTCCCTCTAATCGGATTTCAGCTGCCCACCAGTCCACGTAATGACATTCACTGCCCCTGGGACCAAGCAGGACCCTGTGGGGCTCCTGGGTACAGAAGCCTTTCTGTCCCCCGTTTCTTGTTTATAGGGAACAGACTCCAGCCTCCATGACCTTCCTTCCCTGGGTTCCAAAGGGCAGATTTGAACAGCTGCTAGTAGGGAAGGGAAAGGATGGGGAGACAAGGGAGGAGCAGCCAAGAAACAACCTGAGGCAAGATATGAGGAACCAGAGAAGCTCATCAAGATTAGGAGACCAGGGCTTCCCTGGTGGCACAGTGGTTAAGAATCCACCTGCCGATGCAGGGGACATGGATTCATGCCCTGGTCCGGGAAGATCCCACATGCCACAGAGCAGCTGGGCCCGTGAGCCATGGCTGCTGGGCCTGCGCGTCCGGAGCCTGTGCTCCGCAATGGGAGAGGCCACAACAGTGAGAGGCCCGCGTACCGCAAAAAAAAAACCCTGCCTCTTGGGACTTCCCTGGTGGTGCAGTGGTTAAGAATCCACCCGCCAATGCAGGGGATACGGGTTTGAGCCCTGGTCTGGGAAGATCCCACATGCCATGGAGCCACTAAGCCCGTGCGCCACAACTACTGAAGCCCACGTGCCTAGAGCCTGTGCTCCACAACAAGACAAGCCACTGCAATGAGAAGCCTGCGCACCACAACGAAGAGTAGCCCCAGCTTGACGCAACTAAAGAAAGCCCGCGAGCAGCAAGGAAGACCCAGTGCAGCCCAAAATAAATAAATTAAAAAAAGATTAGGAGACCACCTGAGACAAGATTAAAGGAGTGCAGACCCTGCACACACCCTAATCTTAACAGCAACCCCACCCTTGAACGACTGCTATAAAAACTCCTCACCAATTCCTCCCCGGTTGGGAGATAGTTTTTTGGCGCAGGAGCCTGTCCCCCTTTGCCTGGCAAAGCAATAAAGCTATTCTCTTCTACTTCACCCAAAACTCTGTCTCCAAGATTCGATTTGGCACTGGTGCAGGGAGGCTGAGTTTTTAGCATCAAATTTGGCACCCAACATGGGGCTGACTCGTGGACAGTCCTGGGGCGGGCACGGCGGGGGGGGGGTTCCCTGGCTTGATTGGATGCTCCAAGATTTTCTCCATGCCAGCCTCATTCAAGAGTGGAGGGCTGAAGAATTCCTTTGGAGACCAGATCACCTGGGACCCTTGTCTGGGAAGGCTGAGCCCCAGTCATACCCCATCGGCCATGCTGGCAGCTGGAACTCCGAGGTGGGACGAGACAGTGGAGGAGTGGTCCCTCTAGGGACCACCCTAGCAGCTGCCGAGGTCATCTTCGCCTTGAGGATGTTCCTCTCTTCCTCCTGCCTGGACCACCCTGGACTTCCTACTCCAAGGAATTATTTTGGGGAAGCATAAAAGTAGCATTTGGGATGTCACAACACCTCGGCTAGCATTTGGGGAAGTCCCCCAGCGTGTACTCTGTGGCCACTTTGACCCTGTCCATTTGGGGGAACCTTGGTTCCCATTTGGGGGATTCTCCATTCCAGGAAATCCCATTTGAGAGGCGTGCCACTTGGGCAGAGGTCACGGGCTAAGTGGGACTTGGAAGCCCATTTCGTTTTGGTTTCTGTTTGGGTTTTTGGTTTCTTTGGTTTGAGGCTTCTGTTGCTGGCTAGGATTTTGGTTTGTTCTTGGTCTGAGCGTGAGTGTTCTTTCAATCAAACATGGGAAGTGCTTCTTCTTCGATTCCATCTGATAGTCCCCTGGGGAAAATTCTGGCAGACTGGTCAACCTATAGCTATCAACCTATGACTAAAAAGAATGAGATTCTATTGTAATTCTGTTTGGCCAATGTACATTCTTAAAAGTAAGGAGAGGTGGCCTTTGTGTGGTAGCCTAAATTATTATTCTATTCTTCAGCTAGAATCCTTTTGTCACAGGAATGGAAAGGCTGGGAATTCTCTCCACTCCATCTGGGCTAGCCACTCCGGGCTCTCCAAGAGCCAACTCTGGGTTTGTTCTTTTTCAAGAACTGAGCCAATCTGTTTGGAAACCTTTGTCTGGGAGTGGAAGCAGAATTTTTAAACTACACCTCCTCTAATTATCTGTGTGGCCATAGCTTATCTGTCGTTTGTGCTTTTATGTGTATTGTTTTGGGGTGAGCCACTCTGACTTGCGCAGGGTGGGAAAATTCTACCTGCTCATTGTGGGCCACTTTGAATTCTCTGTCCGGGAGTGGAAATGGAATCTTTGGGCTACGCCTTGTCTGATCTTTCGTTTGTGGGACCATGTTTGTTGTTTGTATGTGTGTGTGTCAGTACTTGCACTGACTGGTTGAGACATCCTTCGTGAATAACAGAGCTCACGTGTGACAACATCAGTGTATCCTTCCCTATTGCGTGGGGCTTTGCCTGTGGAGGAATGTTGGTTGGGATTTTCCCTTTTGGACTAGCCTTGTTATAGGTGACCAGAGCTCTGTTCAATCTCTGTACCCCACCTAGGGTATTTTTACAAAACTAGGAGCTCTTCAGCTATGCTCCCGTGAAAAGGAATTGGTATTTCTTTCCCCCTGTGCCTAGGTCCTCAGGAACACATGTTATCTAGACCATCTCTAGTTCCTGAGACTGAAGAAAAAGGGCAGGGGAAAGAAGGCCTTATTAAACTCAAGTGGAAAAACTGTGAGATCTCTGGTTCTGTCTTTATGTAGGAGCTAACTTGTAAATGAGCTCTGTTTAATTGACTTAAAAGTAAGAGCTTACAAGTTAAATCTAAATGTCTAAAAAATTGGCCAATATAAATTTTGGACCACACGATCTGGGAAATAGTAGTGAATTGATATGTTACTGAAGGTAGGTTAAGCTTGTTGGTTTAATTAATATAGACATGTCTTTAGAATCATCAGTGTTAAGTAAAGCAAACGAGGTTAAGAGTTTTTAGGTAAACTCTTTACGAATAAGTATTTTAGGAATGTCTACTTAAGAATAATCTCTCCAGATGCTTGGTAACTTAAAATTGTAGAGTTGTGCTAAATTAAGTTAAATGATGGAAGTTTATTGAATAGGTAGGCCATTTCCAAGTAAAATAAGATACTGAAACATTAATTACTGAATACTGGCTTCCCTTTGCAGAGAGACTAAAGGTATGTATGAACTAAAGGTATTTGGTGCCACCCTGTGATTCTTTATAAGAAAGCACATGTCTGGGACTTCCCTGGTGGTCCAGTGGTTAAGAGTCTACCTTCCAATGCAGGAGACGTGGGTTTGATCCCTGGTCGGGGAACTAAGATCCCACATGCTGTGGGGCAACCAACTAAGCCCACACGCTCTGGAGCCCGCATGCCACAACTAGAGAGAAGCCCCGCACGCCGCAAAGAAGGGCACGCATGCCACAACTAAGACCCGACGCAGCCATAAATAAATGAATGAAGAATATTAAAAAACAAGAAAGCACATGTCTTTAGAAATTATTGGTATTTATGTTTATAAATCTACAGAGTGCTGAAGACAATTCACGGTTGCTTAAGGAAAGTAGGTTGTGCGTTTTGAACAAAAGATGGTATGAGGAATGGCACTGCATTTTCCTAAGGAAAAAAAAAAGTGATTTTTGCCCTAGAGCTGGTTGATTTTGAATGGAAAAGGGGCCAAATGTTTACAGAAAGTTGTAGAAGGTCTGCAGAAAAGGAAAAGGAAATTTAGTTGGGTAAATGAATTTTGTTGGGAGTGGGCTGGGACAAGACTAGATTTGGTTTCTTCCTCTAAATTTTTCTTGAAATAGTGCTTTTGATAACAGCTTGTGAGTTCCTTTGCCTTTAAGTGATCTGTATTCACCTTTAAAATCTTTTCACTTTGGTTAAGTAAATAGCATTGTTTGGCAGTTTCTAAAACTTCTTTTGACCTCCAGCTAACTCTGAGATGCTTCAGAGGGCCCCTGAGGCATTTCAGAGAGGAACATTTAATTAAGATTTGGTACGTTAAATCAAATGTAGTCAGTTGTAATTCTGGTTATTGTAACCAAGTTTCTTTATCGATTACATTGTAATCAGATGTTTAACTGCATCCTTTAAGTCCTTCTGTCATTTATAGACAGTGATTGTACTCTGATGCTTTTGCAGAAGTGCTTCATCTTCAAGATTTATGCGAAGGACCTTCAGACAAATACAGGTTTCTCATAAATGTCATATCATACCACTGAGCTGGGTCTACTGCTTAAGGCACATGTACAATGCTCGTGTGACAACTGGGTATAAATGATAAAATGTATGTCCTATAAAATGTTTCCTCACTAATATACCTCTGAGCTTGTTCACGATACCTGATCAGTTTTCCCCCAGTGTGGCTTAACTAGGCAAATATAAAGGAGGCCTAGCATGGAGGGACATGATCTACAACCAGGTCAAACAGCTGTATCACCCCGGCATTGAGGGACAGCTATTTTGATTATCAATGCTTTCTATTGAAAGATTTGCAATCAGAGGGAAAATGATGGAAAAAACCTGCATGAATTGAGGTGTGGGGAAGTCACTGGCTTATACATGGTTTAACTTTAAGAAAAGGCCTGTTTTGTGGCCTTTCAGACACGCGTTGTGCATCTGCTTTGACACTGAGGAGGGGAGTGCATT